CCCCCCCCCTGGCTCAGTCCCGCCCACCCCAGGCTCAGCTCCGCCCCTCCCTCCCGGGCCCCGCCCCTTTCTGGCCCGGTCCTGCCCCTTCCCACCCTGGCAGACCCACACCATCTGCGACCCCGCCCAGGCTGGATTCGCGGAGGGTAGCCTGGCTCACCCGCCAAGTCATGAGCGAGGTCTTTGATGAGGTGGCCCACGATGGCGTAGGCCACGGCTACCACTAGGACGGCGGCCATCAGCAGGTACAGGGCGTAGCGAGGCAGGCGGATGGCGTCCAGCGGAGGCGGCCGGTACTCTTCGTACATGGCCGGGGCCGGGCTCCAGGCCCGTGCCTCGCTCGCCGACCCCGCCATGGCTGGCAACACCCTCCACCGGAGCCCGACGCAGGCGATTAGGGGATGAGCTGCAAGGATTAGGACGGCTGCTATATCTGTGGGTGCCCTCCCTCGATGGCTGTCATGACTGTGACGCCGATCCGCCCACGCGAGAACAGTGCAAAAGCCCGGGGCAGCCGTGGGGCAGAGGGACAGGGTCTCCGGGGGACCCTGGGTGGCAGCGGGCAGTGTACTCTCATGCGCGCCCTCTGGTGGCCACGGTAGGGAGGACAGATGTAGGGTGGGAGCCTAGGGGGTCAGCATGTGACAGAGACCTGGGTTCAGATCCGAGTTCTGAAGAGTCGCTGCACACGCTGTGGCTGTCCCAGGCTCTGATAGCAGGCATTTCCCTGGGACGAGGGGTTAATGTTACCCCATGTGTCACCCTCCAGCTTCAAGGGGTGAGTCATCCTATAAAATCCCACAAACTGGCTGTGAGGGACACAAGATGCAGGGTTTTGTGGTATGTAGATGAGCTTCATGCCTCTCCACCCCCAGCGGAAGACTGGAGGGACCTGTGAGGAGCGCAGCCAGGGGTTTGAGGGGTGAGGAGGGGCCATGTGAGGGTGGTGCCCCCAGGAGGAGGGACATCTTGTAGACTTGGTCTCGAGGAGGCCGCCCGTGGGCAGGATGGCTTGAGGAGTCCAGGCTGAGTGACCAATGAGGTGGAGAACTAGCTGGCAGCCTCTGTGATGTGAGGACTGGAGTCAGGGCCACAATCTGTGATCCTGGCATCCAGGAGACTGAGGCAGGAGGATTGCCATGAATTCCAGCTCATTGCCTCATTGCACTCCGACTCAAAAAAAAAAAAAGTTGCGGGCTGGAGAGATGGATCAGCGGTTAAGAGCATTGCCTGCTCTTCCAAAGGTCCTGAGTTCAATTCCCAGCAACCACATGGTGGCTCACAACCATCTGTAATGAGATCTGGTGCCCTCTTCTGGCCTGCAGGCATACAGACAGAATATTGTATAGATAATAAATATATATATATATTTTAAAAAAGGTTGCACACGATAGCGTCTGGCAGCCATCACAACACTGGTGGAAGCAGGAGAATAAGGGCCTCCCTGGACCACATGGGACGCAGATGGGAAAATAACCCAGAGTGGGCAGGGCTCAGCGGTTGCAGCACCAGCCGCTCTTGCAGAGCCACCATGTCTAAAGAACACACACAGGACGAGGGCTAGCCCAGGCTAAAGCGCTCATCCCACAATCGAGGACCACACTGCTGAGGCGGGAGTGTGACCGAGCACCGCCGGAGTGCCAGGGCGTCACCAGCGTCACCGCTGACCTGTCCTGAAGTGGCACAGCCTCAGTCTCCCTTGGAGCCCTCTTCCTGGGGAAGGGGACCCAAGGCAGGGGAGGGGAGGGGTCACCTGGCCTGGAGTCACTGTGGTGGTCACTGGAGCAGGGCAAGCTTGCCCGGTGACAGGGACAGGGGGTATCCCAGGGAACACGGAATTGTGGGGCCAGGATGGGAACCCATAGCACAGGCTCTTAGCTGTACCTCTGTCCCCAAAAGTCAGACATACAAACAAGGCCATGTCGCTGTCCCCACACCAGGAGCCACCATTTGTCAAAAATAACTTATTTTATTGTGCATTGTCCTGGAGTTGGCTTGTGCCCCTTGATGGCCCAGACATGCACTGCCCCTAACCCCGCGAAGTCGGAAGTATTCGCCGACCTGAGACCCCACAACCTTTCCCGGCATCTCAAACCTGACCATTCCCTGGTATCCGGAAGTTCCCACACTGCAGTGCGCCAGTCTGGAGGAATAAAATTATAGACAGACAGCTCCAGGAGGGAGCACTGTGCACCAGCATCCAGAGGCAGCTGTGGAGGATGGGAATCAAGGCGGCACAGATGACTGGCCCCCAAGTCTGGATAGTGGGCGCCGCTGGAAGAGTCCCACACGCAGGGCACGGCCCGCAGAACCCTGCCCACTGCGACGGCAGAGTCCAGGGTAGTCCTAGGCAGTGCCCGGTGCTGCTAGGTCAGGGCGGCGGCCGCAGGCGCTCTAGCCCGTTGGCGTACTGGAAGTCCAGGCCGCACTCGTGCTCGTACATGTCCAGCGCTACCTCGCAGCTTTCCCGCACCACACGCTCGGCGTCGGTGATGTGCTCCCGCAGTGCGGCTAGGCAGGCGGGCCTGGCGATAGCACCCAGGGCCTCTGCGCATTCGTGTCGCACCATGGCGCTCTCGTTGGTCCGCGCCAGGGTGGCCGCCAGCTCGCCCACGGCCGCCTCATGCTGCAGCTGGCCCAGCACGTAGCCCACCTCATGGCGGAAGAGGGCGCTGCCACAGCGCAGACCTGCATGAGAGCACAGGAAAACGGGTCGGAACAGCTGCCTGGGGTGCCAGGGTGGGGACCTGCATGACCAAATGGTCAGGACCACCCAGGGCAAGTGACCAGGCATTTTTCCAGGCCCCCGCCTCACCTTCAGCCAGGGCCAAAGCCGCCTCCTCGCCACCCACGTTGCGCAGGGCAAACATGGCACGGTACCGCTCAAACAGTGGCAGCGCCTCGTCCAGCAGGGCCTCCCGCAGCCGTCCCACGTCCTGCTCGGCTGCAGGGGGTGCTGGGTCCACGGAGAGGTAGGGTCCTGCGCTCCCAGCCTCCCCAGGGTGCTGCTGCAACCACTCCAAACGCCCGACAGCCAGCTGGCACGTCTCAGCCACCTGTGAGGGTGGCAGAGGTGGTGTGGGTCCCAAGGCTGGGTGCACGGGGCCCGACTGGCATATTCCCCTCTCCGAGACTCACACCAGGCAAATGGCTTCAGGCTGGACAGACCAAGGGGGCCAAGCAGGCCCAAGCTGTGTGCAGAGGCCCTGTAGCTGGACCTCACGGGCAGAAGGCGGGGGACAGGCTCATGCACGGGAGCCCACAAGGAAGAACAAGGCCAGAGAGCAGAAGCGAGCCCGGCGCCACAGGAGCAATGGGTAGCGCACAGCGCAGCCCTCGCACATTGCAGTATTGCTCAGCCGTGAACACGAGGGAGGCTCTGGCATAAACACTGCATAGAGCCACCTTCAGGTCATGGTGGCCAGGGGCACAGACACAAAAGGACACACAGCGTGGGCTCCACGACAGCAACATACAGAGTGGGGATCCAGCGTAGAAAGCTGATTCGTGGGTGAACGGGGGGGGGGGGGGGGGGGGGGGGCGGGGGGGGGGGGGGGGGGGGGGGGGGGGGGGGGGGGGGACGACCCAGAGCTGTGGGAGGGCTTAGGACCGACCCTGCCCCCATCTCTACAGCATCCTTTCCCAGGAGGTTGCCCTGGCAACCAGGCATGGACTCCACAGCTGGCCTCACAGGCAGGGGCCAATATCCTCACCTCAACCACTGGGTCCGTAGAATACTGCTTGAGGAGGTCTAGAACTTCCGGGTTACCGATTGCCCCCAGAGCTTCCCCTAAGGAGACAAGTCAGTCATGCAGGGTTTCCATGGTGTCCAGAGGCTGCACATCAGCTTCCCAGCCGGCCAATCAGAATTCTTACCCCAGAGGTTGGCCCGCTGCGGCTACAGCAGCCCCACCCCACCAGAAGCCATTGGACTAGGAGCTACACAAACCTTGGGCCAAGGGGACAGTGTGCCAAGATCCCGAGGCCAGGAACGGGGGCCTCCACCCTTCTGCTCACAGGCCAGTGTAGCCCTCATCACCCTGGAGTTCTCACTGCAACCCTTCCTGCTAAGGCATGCCACGGGGTCGCGCCCTCACTCACTCACCCGCCTCGTGTCGCACCATGGGCTCCTGGCTCGTGTCGCGCAGCACGTCCACCAGCACTGGGATGGCGCGCGAGTCCTGCATCTGGCCCAGGCAGTAGGCCAGCTCGTGCTTCAGCAGGGCAGAGCTGTCCTCGAAGGCCTGGCTGATCCAGGCAATAGCGTGTGGGCCCCCGAGCCCCCGCAGCGTGAACAGGGCCCGGAAGCGGGCCTGCAGAGGCTCCTTGGGGTCCACCAGAGTCTTCCCTATTGCCTCCACCTCCTGCTCCGTCACCATGGCGACGGCCTCCGGCAACCTGCCACAGAAAAGGGTGCGGGTGAAGCCCGTGCTGAGGTTCACACCTGCAGACCCAGTCCCGGGGATGCTGAGGCCGGGGATCTCCCCCAAACCTCCATATCAACCACTTCCCAAGGAAGAAAATAAGAGCCCTGGCGCTGTTGGTCCATCTCCGTCACAGGAGGTGGCCTCACGCAGAAGCCCGGGGGTATCCCATGTCACAGGCTCCACACGATGCCCACAGGAGGAGGCACGGATGGAAGCCAGGCCCCGGGGACCTGGTCCTGGAGGATGACCTCCAGTGACCCCCATCTCCAGGGACTCAAACCCCGAACTGAGGACAGGTCCCCTTCAGGACAGCTTGGATGCAGATCTGGAAACTGGATCTCAAGGCTGCCTGGCTGATCCTCCCACGACTTCACGTGAGACTCCTCCACAGTCGCCGAAGCCCGTGCAATACACTTCACTCCTCCCCTCCGCGCCCCCTGCGCGGCCTGACAGGCGCAGGACCACACACCCAGCTAGCTCACAGACACTCTCTAAACATGGGTGAATTAACCCGGAAGCAGACATCTACAGCTATGAGAAGGGCGCTCTGCAAAGACCCTGGCGGATGCGTCCCAAACAGGACTGACAAGCTGTGCCCAGCTGGAAGGCCCTCCTGGGCTCTGATGTCATCCAGCTGCCCCCGGGTTTAATGAAGGAGGCATGGCTGCCCAGCAGGGACGCCCAGCACCTCGCTGGAGACGCTGAAGCAGGGGGATGGCCGGTCCCAGATCCTGCTTCCAAAAACGGGAGCTGCACGGGCCCGGCGGCACGAAGCCGCTGCTCACACCCCGGCACCCCGGACAGCCGGGCTGCCGCGGCGGGGAGGCCATCCTGGGATACGGAAGGCCCCGTGTCGGGCGGCGAAGTGTCCCCCGGAGGCACTTCCGGCGCCCCTCACCGTGCTCTCGGCCACGGGGACTCGACGCTGACTCCGCACACGCAGGCCGCGTCGACGCAGGCCGCGGTGACGGCGCCACGGACAAGGGGAGCGCTGGTCAGCAGCTGCGGCGAGCGCAGCGTAGCTTAGGCGCCGCCATCTCGGCGACCACGTGACCAGGCCGGGCGGAACCAGAGCTCAGAGCCGGAGGAGCGATTTCCGGTCTTCCTCCGGAACCGGATTCTCTCCCCTGCCCACTCCTAGAGAAATCAAAATGGTTCTCAAAGCGCAACGGCGACCAATACCGACGGAGCATGCGTGAAGCTTCGGGGCGGGGCTCTACCGCCGGGGGCGTGGCCAGTGGTCTGGGGCCGTAAGAAAAGGTGGGCGAAAGAGGGGTTAGCAAGCAGCTCAGCGGGTGAGGGCGCTTGCAGCCAAATCCGACGACAAGAGTTCGATCTTGGGGGCCACAGGCTAGACTACGCGCCTCGTCATGTGACATGTGCATGAAATCGATGTTTAGAAATTTTGTTTTGTTTTGTTTTGTTTTGTGAGACGGGGTTTCTCTGTAGCTTTGGAGCCTGTCCTGGAACTAGCTCTTGTAGACCAGGCTGGTCTCGAACTCACAGAGATCTGCCTGCCTCTGCCTCCCGAGTGCTGCTGCCACCACCACCCTGCAATATTTAGAAATTTAAATACAGGGCTGGAGAGATGCCTCAGCAGTTAGAGACTGGCTGTTCTTGCAGAGGACGGAGGTTCCATTCCCAACACCACACAGTGGATCACAACTGTCTGTAACTCTAGTTCCAGGGGATCTGACACCCTCATACCCGTGCATATAAAATAAAATATTTTTAAGATACATCATATGTGCGTAAGATGCCATAAAGAAGTTCATTATTACATAGTTATGTAAATTTAATCTATGATAATGACGTTTTCAAAATAAAAGTAAAGTGAAGGCAAGATTAAAATACACTATATATTGATCAAAATGCCCTCAGCTAGGCCGTTAATCTATGGGCTTGTATGATATACTAAATAAATATGAAAAACAGAAGTGTGAGTACATATGATGAAGATACACAATGTATATTTATGGACGTGCCAAAAACTGTTAAAGTAAAATGAACACTGTACTGAGGATGAATCATTTCAAAACATTTCATAGCCAGACAATAGTGGTGCATGCTTTTGATTCCAGCACTCAGGAGGCAGAGGCAGGGGGATCTCTGTGAGTTCGAGGCCAGCCTGGTCTACAGGGTGAGTTCCAGGACAGCCAGGGCTACACAGAGAAACCCTGTCTCCAAACAAAGGAAAACTAAACAAAACAAAATAGAAAATAAGTGAAAGCCACCGCCATTCTTCCACTGAGATACTGAGTCATCTGTCAGCCCTCTGCAGGAAGGCAGGGCAGTGAGCTGCGCTCCTGGCTCAGTCCAGCTGCACCATGTGATTTAATTTCCTCTCAAGACTATGTTGTTAGTCCAGCCTTTGCTCTCAGCCTGGGGTTGGCCTGCTGAGCGCTGGGACCACTGAACATCACCATCTACCCCCTGAGGACTCAAGAAAGTTGGCTCCCAGAGTGACATGGTGTGTGTGGAGACAGAGGCAGGAGAAGGGCCACCCTGGCCTAACGGGTGAGCCCCAGGCTGAGTGAGAGACCCTGCCTTCAAACACGACAGAGAGCAACTGAGGACCACGCCTCAGGTTTCACGTGCATGTGACAGGGAAAAATAAACAACAAACATGGCTGCCGATGATGACTGCGACGCCATGGGGCACAGCTCAACTCATTTTTACATGAAGCTTCTGGAAGGGCTGGGCTGAGCTGGGGGGGGAGGGCTGCAGCGGGGCACAGGGTGGGGTGATGCCAGGTGTGATCTGAACCTCAGAACAGCAGAGGGGAAGCTAAGGGCGCAGGGGTGCAGGAAGCAGATATGGCTTCTGAAGGAGGCTGGTGCTCCGGTCACTGCTTGGCATGCTGCCCAGGCTGCGCTGGGAGGAACTGATACCGGGAAAAGCTGCACAGCGCCCAGCAGCCATGACTTCCCTTCTGCAGCTTCTCCACCCTGAGTCCAGCATCCCTGTGGCTGCAGGCCTGCCTTCCTCACGAGGCGTTTTCTGCTTCACAGCTGTTGGTCAGCTAGCAGCCATTAGCTTGTGGCCTCAACACTCCTGTCTCTATAAAGAGTGGGTTTTTGCCAGGCAGTAGTGGCACAGTCTTTAACCCCAGCACTCATGAGGCAGAGGCAGGAAGATCTCTGAGTCTGAGGCCAGCATGGTCTACAGAGCTAGGGCCAGAATAGGTTCCAAACCAAAGCTGTCTCAAAACATTAAAAAAAAAAAAAAAAAAGTAAATTTTGTTTTTTTGGATCCTCCTGCCTCAGTGTCCCAGCTGAGAGATCAGAAGCCTGTGCCACTGTCACTGTCTGGTTTGGTGGGGGCACTGTTTTATTTATCTTGTTACATTTATGAGTGGAGCACAGATGTCCCTATGGTTAGAGGACAACCTGAAGAGCTGGCCTCTTCTACTGTGCGTGCCAAGAATCAGGCTCCCCATGCACCTTTGTCTGCTGAGTCATCTCTGGGCCCTTGACAAGAATCTGAACTCCTGTCCTCATGCTGGCCGGGCAAACATGTTACCGCTGAGATATCTCCCACACCTCCTAATTTTGATTTTTTTCAACTTTATTTTTTGACAACAGAGCCAGGTGGAGACGGGGCTGTGCTCCTCTGAACCCCAGGGAGGCTGTGAATGTAAATTCACCTGTCTTCCCACCCAGGCTCTGGGTGTCCAGGCCCAGAGTGAGGTCCTATATGGTGCTCTGAGTGCCACTGTGTGGTGGCATCTTCTGTGCACCCCTAGGAGGTACTGGCTTCTGTTACCACATTTGGCTCTGTCTTGTCCAGACTCGGTGACCAGGCTTTTCTGATAGGGTCCTCGGTCCAGCGTACTGATTTAATCAATCTTAATTTAGGGAGCTGGAGTAATGAATGACCCAGTGGTTAAGAGCACTGACTGCTCTTCTAGAGGACCCGGGGTTCAATTCCCAGCACCCACAACTGTCTGTAAACTCCCAGATCTGACGCTCACACACAGACACAGATGCAGGCAAAACACCAATGCACATAAAATAAAAATAAATCATTTAATCTGGGTGGTGGTGGCGCATGCCTTTAATCCCAGCATTTGGGAGGCAGAGGCAGGCAGATTTCTGTGAGCTGGAGGCCAGCCTGGTCTACAGAATGAGTTCCAGAACAGGCTACAAAGCTACAAAAAAAGAAAAAAAAAAAAAAACCCTTTCTTGAAAAAAAGAAAAAGAAATAGAACCCCCCCCCCAAAATTAAATGTATAGATTTTCTTCTTTGTGCTCGTGTGTGAGTTAGTGCCCTCCCGTGGGGTTCAGCTGATGAGGAGCCCATTCTCTTCTTCAGGCGCATCTGGGGACCAGTCTCAGCATCACAGGTGCGGCAGCGGGCACCTTTACCGGCTCCTTCATCACTTGCTGACTTCCCACCTGAGCCTTCCGGCCCCTGGCACCCATGAATCCACTTCCCAACTCTGGACATTTCCTGTCATGAAGCCCAAATTGTGTGGTCCTTTGTGTCTGGCCCTGCTGCTGGACACAATGTCCTTTGGGGTCCCTCTGTCTGAGAAGCTATCAGAGCTCTGTCGTTTTTCAGGGCCATGTGGTGTTCCACGGCATGAATGGGTCCTGAAGCTCCCCCCTCCGCAAGTGGACACTAGGTTGTGAATGAAAGGGGGCACCCATGTCCGCGGTAGGAGGCTGTGGGTGGGTGACTGAGCCTCTGCTGGCCTGGCCCTGTGGCTTGGCTGTTCGGTGTTCTGCTGCCAGCCCCTCTCCTGTGTGGGCTGCGGATTTCACAACTTGCCCAGCAAGGAGAATGACTCATCTTTCCCCAAAGCCTTGCAGCGTGATTTGCCTTGTTTTGGAACAGGGGTGAGGCACCGGAATCTGAAACCGTGACCGCACTGTGTGCTGAGCACCCCAAGGCCTTTGCGCAAACCTTTCCCCCTTTGCCCACGGAACTCAGCCCCCCAGCTCTTCCTTTGCCATACACACACACACACACACACACACACACACACACATATGTGTGTGTGTGTTTAGAATTTAATTGTTTGTTTAGTGTGTGTCACTTAGTCATGGGGAGGCACAGGTTTGTGTGTGGTCAGAAAGTCACAACTTGTAGGAGTTGGGTCTCCCTTCGCCAAGTGGGCTCCGTGTATTGAACGTTTGTCTTGGTCTCGCTGGCCCCTATCTATTTTTTTTTTTTTTTTGGAAGCAGGACCTTCTTGAGCTTTGTTTCGAGCTGTCATCATTATGGCTTCTGGGAGTACTCGTTTAAGGCGCATAATAAAATTCTTTAGAGGCCGGGGTGGGTGTTCTCACTTTCAGGTAATCCTAGCACTTCGGAAGCTGAGGCTGGTGGATTGTTTCCAGTTCGAGGCCAGCCTGGCCAGAGAGTGAAAACTCTCGAAAGATCAAAACAATACACAAATGCCTAGTGCGTGCACAGCAGCGTCCGCGCGCCGTCCGCCGAGAGAACCAAAGTTTCGGGGTGACGCTTCCCCACTTCTTCCTCAAACAGGAGCCACGCCTTCCTCAGCGCCGAGTCATCCGCGTTGTTTTCCCCTGGACCGCACTTCCGACCGCGGTTGCCCCGGGCAACGCGTGCCGCCCCGCTTCCTGTATTGATTTGAATCCTGAAGGACGTCCCAGACTCCCGAGCTGCCCTGCGCTGCAGCGCGCAGGCGTAGTTGTACGCGGTGGGCGCAGGCCCGGCACAGAGTGGGCGTGCCCAGGGGGCGTAGCTTCCAGACGTAGCGTGGTGGCGGTTCGCGGGGCGTGGCTCTGGAGGGGCGTTAGATACTTGAAGGGGCGCGGTTTCAGCTGAGGACGCAGGGGATTGGAGAGTGCGATGCGCGATGGGCGTGGTCATGGGCGTGGCTCCCCGGGAAAGCCCAGGTGGCGTTGGGAGGGGAGGCAGAGGGGGCGTGTCCCGGCGCGCCTGCGTGTGGGGGCGTGGCCTTGGCGCGGGGATGCGCTCGGCGGCGGGGCCGGTCGCGGGCACGCGCGCGGCCTGCGGGACAGACGGAGGGAGGGAGCCGGGTTGCCGCTGAGTGCCGCCATATTAGCGACCGCGGAGGCCGGGGGATTCCCGTGAGCTGCGGCGGCGGGGCCTGGCGCAGCGGAGGGGCCTCGAGCGGGCGCGGCGTGTTCCTGGGCCCGGCGGGAACCGACGGGAACCGGCCGGCGACGGGAGCGAGGCAGGTGAGGACACAGGTGACTGGGGGACCCGCCCCCCAGGCCGACCCCTTCCTTCTCCGGGCTCCCCCACGTCGCAGCGACCTTCGGTTCTGGCCTCCAGCCCGCCAGCTCGCTGCGTCTGTCAGAGCCCTGCATCCCCAGCCCCGCTCCGAGCCCTGCTCCCCCGGATGCAGGGCACCACCCGCGCTGCTTTCCCGCACCCCGGAATGCAAACGCACCCTGCTCCTAGGTCAGCCCCTGCGTCACCCCAGCCCCGAGTCGCCTGCACTCGGCGACCTCGCCTTGACCTCGCCCTGTCCATCACAGCCCTTCTTCCCCAGAGCCCGCCTCTGAGCCCGGCACTGTCCAAATCCAGGGCATTCCACATGTTGTTACTCTAGACCCGAGGTCAGTCCCGGTGTCACCCCAACCTCTACCTCCGTGCACTCGCAAACCCGGGTCACCCCCTTTATGCTCCCAGATGAAGGCCTTCATCCGGAGCCATCTGTCCTCGGTGACCTCGCCCTGCCCACTACAGCTCTCTTACCCTTTTGAGCTATATTACCCCAAATTTAGGGCATTGTCCTCCATGCTGCACACTCAGAACTCTACAGCTACAACCACTCCCCTGTACCCTGTTGACTCCCAAATCCAAATCCCCCTGCCTCAGACACTTCCTACACCCAAACTGAACTTCCAGGTCTGAGTCAGTCTCATAAATCCACAGTCAGAGCCCAGGAGTCTCAGGTACAGCCTTCTGCAGGTGAGGGGTCCCCCAGTGGGAGACTTGACCCCAAGTGCGAGGCAGTCTGTGTGTCCCCAAGCTGACCACATGCCTTCTCAGGTCTGAACCTTCTCCCTGTGTCCCTCCGTCTTCTGTCCCAGACTCAAATCCACTGTCCCCTCCAATCACCTTTGCCCCCCCATCTTCCGTCTAAGCCTGACGCCAGTCCCTGTAGAAGGCAATCTTTCCTTCCATGCTTCCGGTATTCACCCCCTAGTCCAGAGCAGGTGAGAAGCAAGTCCCCTACCCCGTTCATTCCCATGGGTGCCCAGTGAGCAATCACCCAGGACAGACCACGAAGGTGACTCTGAGCTCTGAGGTCAGGCTTGGAGAGACAGGGGTTTGGTGGCTCCCGCTCTCGTGGGGCTGGAATGGCAGGTGTTACAAATATTTTGCTTGTTTGGTTTGTTGGTTGGTTGCTTGAGACAGAATTTCTCTGTGTAGCCTTGGCTGTCCTGGAACTCACTCTGTAGACCAGGCTGCCTCTGTCTCCTGAGTGCTAGGATTAAAGGTGTGCGCCACGACACCCAGCAGGTGCTGTAAATATTAGTGGGGTTCCTCTAAGGATGTCTTCAGGGTGGACTTGGTACTTGAGGAATTTAACCCAATGTCTTGTGGATCATCAGGTCTTGTGGCTTGTATCAAGGGTGTATTCTCTTTACCAATACTAGCCCTCTGCTTCCTCGTCCTAGAGGGTTAGGAGCTAGCTGTGCACTGCAGGAGTCCCGGCGTGTTTCATTTCCTGGCGCTGGACGTGGGCCCAGGGCCTTTGCACATGCTGTACAATAGCTCACCTCAACCATGCCCCAGCCCCTCACTCAGATTCTAGACAGAGGCTCCACCTTGACCATGGTGCCTACAGCCCCCAGCCTTTTTTTTTTTTTTAATGCGTGTATGGATTTTTTTGTTTTTATTTTGATTTTATCTGTATGGATATTTTTCCTGTATGTATGTTTGGGTATATGTATATTTGTGCCTGACAGAGACCAGAAGAGGGTGTCAGATCCCCTGGAACTGGAGTTACAGACAATTGTGAGTCACCTTGTGGGTGCTGGGAACTGAACCCATCTCTTCAGCCCTAAGCTGTGTTTAGTTTGTGTGTGTGTGTGTGTGTGTGCGCGTGCGTATGTGTGCGTGTGTGCTTGTCTATATGCATACCGTGTACAGGCAGTGCTCATGGAGGTCCAAGGGGGTGCCATGTCCTAGTACTGGAGTTACGGGTACCCACGTGGGTGCTGGGAACTAAACCTGGACTCCTTGCATGTGGTCTTTACCATTGAGCCATCTCTGTAGCCCCATTTAAATGTTTAATCCTTAAACATTTTTTTGGTGTGTACATGTGCATATGGTGTACATGTATGTTTGTGCAGGTACACACAAGCAGAAGAGGATGTCACATGCCCCACCCTGTCACTGTCTCCCTTACAACCTGGACAGCCAGGAAGCCTCAGCCCTGGCCTTTATGGGGTCTGGGATCTGAGGTATGTCCTCAGGCGTGCCACCCCCACAGCCATACATTTTTGTTTTGAGACAGGATCTCAGTGAGTTGTCTCAGCTGGCCTGGTACTGGCTGGCCATCCTCCTGTCTCAGCTGCCACAATAGCTGGCACCACAGGCCTGTGCTTTCAGGGGCTTGGAAGGACTTGGGCTGTCCTTAGAAGTTGGAAGAGCCCTGTGGGTGTGGGTGTGGGCGGGAGGACACAGGTCTTAGGAACCTGAGGCTGGAGGGTCGTGAGTTCGAGGTCTGTGTACAGTGGCCCTGAGGATGTAGGTTGGGGACACAGGTCCATCAGGAGGCCACACTGTACAGCTGGGTGTCCAGAACCTCTGCTTCTTGTGGCAGGTTCCTTCCCCACAGCACAGACCCAGGACAGCATTCCCCTGCCTCGGCCTCCTACTTGGCACTTGCCCTTGCTTCCATTCTGTTAGCTGTCCGGTGCAGCAGGTGGCCCCACCCCCAAGAGCTGTGAGCCATGTCTGCACCCCACATGTCTTCATGCGTCTGTGTATCTGTCTTTCTGTGTGTGCATCTCTGTGTTTGTGTGTACTCATGTGTCTGTCTTTGTGTGTCTGTATCTCCGAATGTGTGCCTACATGTGTGTGTCTGTGTGTGTGTACTCGTGTGTCTATGTATCTCTGTGTGTGTACTTGTGTATCTGTGTATCTCTGTATGCCTACATGTGTGTCTATGTGCATGAGTGTGTCTCTGTGTGTGTGTACTAGTGTGTCTGTGTGCATGTGTATCTCTGTGTGTGTACTCGTGTGTCTGTGTATATCTGTGTACCTACATGTGTGTGTCTGTGTGCATGTGTGTGTTAGGTGGGTGTGTGTCTGTGTGCATGTGTGTGTTAGGTGGGTGTGCGTACGTGTGTGTGTGTGTGTGTGTGTGTGTGTGTCTGTAGGTCAGAGGGCACCATGCAGGGGTGAGTTCCTTCTTCCACCATGTGGTCCCATGTTGCAGCTTGGGTGTGCGGCTCTCCAGCCTTCTGCTGAGTGCTCTGGCCAGCCCCTTTCTGGGGTTTGTTTTCACTGTAGTCTCACTCTCGCTCAGGAGGCCTCAAACATGCAGCAATCCTCCTGCCTCAGCCTGCCGAAGTACCAGGATGGCAGGTGTGCACCACCATGTCTGACCCCAAAGAGGTTTGAGGATGAGACGATGTCCCCTGTCACCATCGGGAATTCCCACTATCTTCACCAGCCTTTGTTTTAGAAAAGTTTGTTGTTTTTGTTTTGTTTTTTTAGGACAGGGTCTCTATGTAGTCCTGGCTGTCCTGGAACTCACTCTGTAGACCAGGCTGGCCTCGAGTGCTGGGGTTAAAGGCCACCACTGCCTGGCTTGAAAAGTTGGTTTTAATTATTTTTTTTCCATGTTTTTATCTGCTTTATGCAGATAATAGTATCACATTTTACATTTTATTAAAATGGATAGTTGTGGTGTGGCCATTGCCTGAATGTATTCTAGAGCTTTCCGTCACCCTGAAGTCCACCCCGTTCCCGAAAGGGATCACCCCAGCTTCTGACCCAAAGGTCTGTTCTGAAAGCTTCCTACCACAGCCTCTCTGGTCAGTGTCATCTCTGCTGGGAATGGGGTGCACACGTTTTGACTGTCTGCTCCTCAGAACTGCCATCTTGTCCTCTCCTGTCCCTAGTGCAGCTGCGAGGAGGGCGTGCATGGCGGCAGGGGGAGAGCTTGGTGCTGCGCTGCTTGTCCTGGGGAAGCAGCCCACCTTGTTAAGAGATCCTGTAACCCCAGGGCTTCTGGAACTCTGGACTCACCCTAAGGTGGCCATGACAGGGAGAGCTGCAGGTGTGGGGTGGGTGGAGGCTGAAGTCAGCCTCAGCACTGCGGGCCCTCCCTCCCATGAGGACCAAGGGCCCTGGGCCCTTGGTCTACAGAGCATTCTCACAGACAGCCACGCTGTCATATGGAGACCCACGCGTGGTACAGTGCAGGGGTCTCTCCCACAAGCTGGGGCACCCGGTCTGCCCAGCTGGCACAGGGAGGCTGAGAGTGGCCCACTGCTGGATGAGCGAGTGGGCGGGGATGCACGTGTACTGAGGGTCTTCTCACTCTGGGCCCATGCTGGGCGAAGCGGTTTGCTCAAACCCCAGGTGTCTAGGGGTCCCTGACTGATGGGAGCTGTCACCTCCTGCTCTGCTTGTTTCTCCTGACTAGAAGGCCGCTGTCTGGGCCCTGCCATGTGCCTGCTTCTGCCTGTCACACCAGCCACCGTTTACTACTGACAGTTCTCAGACCCTTTGTGCCATCCCAGGTCCTCAGGTATTCCTCACACATGCACACAGGAAGAGCCCGTGCTCTCCCGTGCAGCCTTCTGAAAGGTTGCTGGGGGTAGAGTCTCCCGGAGGCTCGGCCAGAGCTATGTCTCGGGGAATTTGTGGTAATACAGGAGATAGCAAAGTGGAGTGGGGACCCCGTTCCTGGACAACAGGCCTGCTTGTTAGCCTGTGTCATTGGGAAGTCCCTGCCTTTGCCCTTAAAGGTATCTTGGGGATCACATGCTCTGGTCAGCATATGAGCTCTGTGGGACATCTGATCTGAGGGTCCCTGTGTCCAATGCCCCTGGTGGGCACTGCTGCAGGAGCTGACCGCAGCTCTGCGCGCGGCCTGTCCCCATGTGTGTTTCCAGGGCAGGGGACAGTCCTGACCACATGGCTGCCACCAGTTGGGACAGAGGGAAGAATGGGGCAAAGAGGCCTGGTGTTTTCCTGTGCCAGGGCCTTGGGTGCAGCTGGCTGCCAGCCTCCATCTCCGCCTGCTCTGTGCTGTGGTGCCTTGAGTAGCTCCTGTTGTCTTAACGGGGAGTGTGGAATGCTCCTGATTCCATGGACGTGCGTGTGTGTGTATGGAATGGGGCTCAGCACCCTGCAGGGCCCAGCAAGCCCCGCCTGGCCACAGTGCAGCATGGTGTGTCCCCACAACTTGGCTGCAAGTGGGGGCTCTTCTTGGGTTCCTTGACACACCAGCCATGAGGACCAGTTTTTCAGGATTTGTAGCCCCTAGAGGGTGTGACTTGCTGGCAATTAAGGGTCAGATGAGCTGCACTTCCGTCCTTGGGGGAGCTTCCTGGTGACAGGAGCCCAAGGGCCTTCCTGGCCCAGTGCCAAGCAAGAGGACAAGTGTGCACTGGGGGTGGGCGACTGGTGACACCCTGGCTCTTGGTGGCATTGGCAGGGGCTGGTACAGGGCTCCATCACACCCGGCTCTGTTCACTTTTGTGTGCTCTTGGTCCCAGTGGTCACCAAACTGCGAGAAACCCCCCGCTCACAGCATCCTGGGATACAGCCAGGATCAGGCCCCTGGGGGAGACTGACTCTCAGCAGGAAGGCACAGGACCCAGAGCTCCCAAGGGTTAGCTGGGCCTGGCTGGGCTTGGGTGGAGTGGGCCAGGCTTGGAGCAGGACCCTGCCACCTGAGGGGAACTCATGAGCCTTAGGCCTAGGCCACCTGGCTGCTGGATCAAGTTTGTATGCAAGGACTGGGGCCACCTGGGCTTCTGGGGACCAGGGAGCAAGAGAAGGCCCAGCCTTTCCCTCAGAGAACCAGGCAAAGGGGTGGGTCTGCCCCGCCAGGCCAGACAGCAGCCGGTGTCAGTGCTTCATCTGCACTAGGCTCCCACTCCTGCACCCCTCAGCCCCACCCCTGTCCCCCCCATGTCAGCCTCTCACCTACAGTGGTGAGGTGACACATTTGAACAGCTCCCGAGCCTTTCCCTGCCCTCGCTTTGTGTCTTCCAGGCCTGGGTCACGTGAGTAGGCTGCCCTTCAGCTTGTATCTAACAATGGAGTTGAACTCCTGATCCTCCAAGCATCCTAGCCCCGGGAGCCGAGGCAAGAGAATTGTGTGCTCCAGTCCAGCCTGTCTCCCACGCTGGGTGGCTAGAGCAGCAGGCGGCAGCCCGGTCTCGGGGTGCCTCCTCAAAGTCGCTTTAGCACCTTCCTGTTCATGACTGAGTAATGTTCCTGTGCACGGATGGACCTGCAGCAGGGCAGGCTTCCGCCCGTGGTTGTCTGTCTCCGGTCACACAGCCCCTTCAGCTGTTGAAGGGACTAAGGCCTGAGAGAGTGCCAGGCTCCAGGACCACTGAGAGTTGGTGCTGAGGACCAAGCTTCGGTGTGGGAAATGGAAAGTTCTGGGGAAGGATGCAGAGCCAGTGTTTTGCTTCTGCCTTTTGTGTTTCTCTGTATTCCGTGTGTTTAACATTGGGTGGAGTGGGAGGCTCCGGGCTCAGGCCAGAGGGGCCCAGTGCATGCATAAATCATGCTGTGGTGTCTAGGGCCTGGGGTAGGAGGGCATGGGAAAGTTGGCGGCCTGCAGCTCTGCACTGGGTGCTGTTGACATGGACTGTCCCCCAGGCTATAGGGACCTTTGCCTTTTTGTGTCTCCGCAATGAAGTATAAAAGCCACATAGTGCGTAGACCAAGGGCCTGGTCTCTGTTAGCAAGCAATAGCCTCACAGCCTGAGATCCTGGACAGCCTGAGGGCTCTGCCCTGGCTGACCACATCCCCTCCCACCTCAGTTGTAAGCTGTCTGAGTGGACATCAAGGGTGATGGGTCATAGTTGCTCCAATTGCTGATGGAGGCTAGTGTCCCCAGTCCCCCCCACACTTGGCTTGGCACTGGCCCCACCTCCCTGTTAGCACTGGTCACTCCAGGGACTGAGGCTCATCACACAGGCACACACTCAGGTACATCAGGGCCAGCCTGGGACTGCTGGAATGTCAGGACCAGGGCGGATCCTGCTTCCCAGGCTCAGGGGTGCTATGTTCTTGACTCCTGGGATATACTCCTTAGGCATGGTGACACACATTTGAGGCAGGACATTAAGATTCAAGGTTATCCTTTGCTACGTAGAAGGTTGGGGCAAGCCTGGGCTACATGAGATCTTGTGTCAAAAATAAGATTTACAGCAGTGGTGGCGCATACCTTTAATCCCAGCATCGGGAGGCAGAGTTCAAGGCCAGCCTGGTCTACAAGAGCTAGTTTCCAAAGCTACAGAGAAACCCTGTCTCCAAAAGCAAAAAAAAAAAAAAAAAAGAATTACAGAGCAGCCCAGTCTGTCTTCCTGGTTGTTGTGTCCCATGGGGCGCTTACCTTGTGTCTGCCCTGCAGGCTGCCCTCAGCTGCGGGCCCCGCCCCGCCGCCTGCCCGCCCGCCCGCCCAACATGGATCAGGACTATGAACGCAGGCTCCTGCGGCAGATCATCATCCAGAATGAGAACACAGTGCCATGTGTGAGTGAGGGGCCCCCATCGAGCCCCCAGGGTGTCACCTGCAGACCCTGGCCAAGGGACCTTCTCTGGGGGTCGCCGCAGCTGAGCCCCCCACCTCTCTCCCAGGTCTCGGAGATGCGGAGGACCCTGACACCAGCCAACTCCCCAGTGTCCTCGCCCAGCAAGCATGGTGACCGCTTCATCCCCTCGCGGGCCGGGGCCAACTGGAGTGTGAACTTCCACAGGATCAATGTGAGGGCTAGACCTAGCAGAGAGCGGGCCAGTCACCCCGAGGTGGGCACAGCCCCCCATTGCGGTGTTCCCTCACGGGCTGCTCTCCCATAGGAAAACGAGAAGTCCCCAAGCCAGAACCGGAAGGCCAAGGATGCCACCTCGGACAACGGCAAAGGTGACGGTCGGCCCCGCCCACTTGGCCATAGCCCCTCCCGCCATAGGACCCGCCCAGAGCACACCCAACAACCTTCCGCCCTGCCCCTGCAGATGGCCTGGCCTACTCCGCACTACTAAAGAACGAGCTGCTGGGCGCGGGCATTGAGAAGGTGCAGGACCCGCAGACGGAGGATCGGAGGCTGCAGCCATCTACACCCGAGCACAAGGGTCTCTTCACGGTGAGCCAGCGGCAGCCAGGGCCCCGTGAGGGAGAGGGCTGTGGGGGGGCCGGGGCTGCTCTGTCTGCAGCATCCAGCCCATTCTGTGTCGGCTTTGGGTGCTTGGGGGTTCCCAAGCCCCGAAGCCACAACAGCCACTCCGCACGGTGTCCCTGCCCCCAGTATTCCCTCAGCAGCAAGCGCTCGAGTCCTGACGATGGCAATGACGTGTCTCCATACTCCTTGTCCCCTGTTAGTAACAAGAGGTGAGCCAGGCCTGGGACCCTGAGTGTCCGGGTGGTGAGAGGGACACAGGGGTCTGGGACAGCAGCAAGCGGCCTTCTGCTGTCCCCGCAGTCAGAAGCTGCTGCGGTCACCACGGAAGCCCACGCGCAAGATCTCCAAGATTCCTTTCAAGGTGCTGGATGCGCCCGAGCTTCAGGACGACTTCTACCTCAACCTGGTGGACTGGTCCTCCCTCAATGTGCTCAGCGTGGGGTTGGGCACCTGCGTGTACCTGTGGAGTGCGTGCACTAGCCAGGTGTGCACCAAGCACCATCCATGGGGGTTTGACTGACCACAGGCGGTGCAGCCCGTGTGCACAGAGTGTGCCTGTTCCTTTGATGCTCCCCCCTACACAGACATACACCCGCTTCTCCCTGAGGAGACGTGAATGGTCCCCAGGGACCACTGTAGACGCTGGGACTCTGGTCTCCTTTGCTGGACTCTGGTGCCATCTCTGCATTCCACCCCATGGCACGAGCTGGGGAACGCAGGTCTGAGGCCAGAGCATCTGCCCTCACTCTGACCTCCTGCCCACAGGTGACCCGGCTCTGTGACCTCTCTGTGGAAGGGGACTCGGTGACTTCTGTGGGCTGGTCTGAGCGGGTAAGTGAGGAAGGGGAGCCCTGTTGTCACCTCTGACCCCTAAAGGAGGAAGGGTGAAACCCACCTGACCTTTTGATCTTTGAGTAAGGCCACTGAGCTGGAGGCTTCTTCCCTGTGCCACAAGCCTTGGCGATCTCTGAGACTCTGCTGCTGCTACTCACTGCAGCCTGGGGTGCAGGGGTGGGCGGTATCCCCCGCACAAGGCTGGCACAGTGGTGGCCGAACGGTGATGTTGCCAGGAAAGCCCCGCAGACAGTCTAAGCAAAGCAGTACGTCCAGGTAGCTGGGTGTGGTGGCTCCCAAGGCTGGAGGATTGCCCTGAGTGTGAGGTCTGCTAGTCTGGATTATAGAGTAAGCCCTTGTTTTAAAAATTAAAACAAAAAATGGGCTACAGAGACCATCCTGCCTCTCTGGGCACGAGATGGGTAAACTTCTTGTCCCCATATCCAGCTGATGGCCACCTGGCCACTCCTGTCCTCTAGGGAAACCTGGTTGCAGTGGGCACACACAAGGGCTTCGTGCAGATCTGGGATGCGGCCGCTGGGAAGAAGCTGTCGGTGCTGGAGGGCCACACTGCACGCGTTGGTGAGGACCTGGCCAGCCCAGCCGCACCCTTGGCCCCGGCCCTGCCCAGGCCCGGGCTGACCCGCTGTCACCCTGCAGGGGCGCTGGCCTGGAACGCAGACCAGCTGTCATCGGGTAGCCGTGACCGCATGATCCTGCAGCGTGACATCCGCACACCACCCCTGCAGTCAGAGCGGCGGCTGCAGGGCCACCGGCAGGAGGTGTGTGGCCTCAAGTGGTCCACAGATCACCAGCTGCTTGCCTCAGGGGGCAATGACAACAAGGTACAGCTGCTGTCACTCCTGCCCCGCCCCGGGAGGGCACGGCCCTGGGGTCATCTTAGAACATAGAGCTCATGACCCCAGAGTTGGCCTGGGCAGGTGCCTGCCCTGGGTGCCTGTTTCTGGGTGGGCCTGTCACAGCCTCGGCCTGCCCGCAGCTGCTCGTGTGGAACCACTCAACTGTGAGCCCTGTGCAGCAGTACACGGAGCACCTGGCAGCCGTGAAGGCCATTGCTTGGTCCCCACACCAGCACGGACTGCTGGCATCTGGGGGTGGCACAGCTGACCGCTGCATCCGCTTCTGGAACACGCTGACAGGCCAGCCCCTGCAGTGCATTGACACTGGCTCACAAGTGTGCAACCTGGCCTGGTCCAAACATGCCAACGAGCTGGTGAGTGCCCACGTGGGCCCGTGGGAAGCAGGAAGCATGGGGGCTGAGACCCCCGCCACCTGTGTGCACTGTAGACTGATGCCGGCCTTGGCTGGTCCAGACTCCATGCCCCCCTGAGGGAAGCCCAAGGGCGCCTCCAAGCCCTCTGCAGCCCTCACACCTGGTCTCCATCCTAGGTGAGCACACATGGCTACTCACAGAACCAGATCCTCGTGTGGAAGTACCCGTCCCTTACACAGGTGGCCAAGCTCACTGGCCACTCTTACCGTGTCCTCTACTTGGTGAGTGTCGGCCACTGTTGCTGTCAGCCCCCTGGGGCCCCACGTGGTGGACTTGTCCCTGGCTGGCTGAGTACTGCCCCAGCCTTCCTGCTGTACGCTCCTAAACAGTGTCCCCCTACCCTGGGATGTGGGAAGTGGAGGATCCTCCCCACCAGGCCTCGCACACCACCTGGCCTCTGTCCAACAAAAGTGCCAGTGTCCCGGCTGCCTGGTAGGCCTAGCTTGGGAACCCAGGGCTCAGACCCACCGCTGCAGGGGCCTTTGTGTCCTACACCCTCAGCCTGGGGTGTCCCCTGGCTTCTACCTGGGTCTCAGAACCTGCCTGCTGCAGCTGGAAACAACCAAGTCCCTTTTGTCCCCTCTATAGGCCATGTCCCCTGACGGGGAGGCCATTGTCACTGGGGCCGGAGACGAGACACTGCGGTTCTGGAACGTTTTCAGCAAAACACGCTCTACAAAGGTAAGGAGGGTGCGTGGTGCCCTCACATGGTCACACCCCTTGGGTTCTTAGGGCACACGGTCACTCTTGTTCCCTGTTCCCAGGAATCCGTGTCTGTGCTCAACCTCTTCACCCGGATCCGATAGACCCGGGTGCAGCCCCTTGGGGCAGAGATAGAGCAGCCAGCATGCATGGGCCTGCTGTCCCTGCAGTCCCCAGGAGGCATCTGACGGGCGGGAGCCGGGCCGGAGACCCCAGAGTCTCATTAAATGCCTCGTTGTGAGCTGTGGAGCCAGTGTCTGGGACAGGGACCCTCATCCACCGGCTGCATCCCCTTCCTGCTGGCTGTCAGCGCTCTCAGATGGACACTTTTGACCTCCCTGTCACCACTGCCTGAGCCATATTGGACACAGCTGAGCAGGAGGCCCGGGACCCCATCAGAGCCCCAAACCCAGTGTCACTTGGGCCTGTGGACCAGAGCCGATATGCCCCTCTGCAGCCACCCCAGCCAGAACATCCTGGGAGGTGCTGGCGGGGCCTGCGCCTCTCGCCCTGACTCCCTGACCGTGCTGCCACTCTGTACTCTGTGTGTCACCCATGTGTGTCACCTCGCCCCTCCCCAGCCAGCTGCCTTGTCTGCCATGTCCACTTCCTCTTGGCCTTCTGGAAGCTTCTCAGGCCTCCCTGACCTCAGACCCCCCATCTTTGCTGCTCCTCCCCAGTGTGGTGGCCGTGGCCATGGTGTGTGCACGTGTGTATATATGTATTTGTGACGCCTTGGGGTCTGTTGTGTGTTTTGTTGCCTTGTTCTAACACTGATGGCCGGAGAAGCCACTGGGCATTAGGACACAGGTCACTGTGGGGTCTGCTGTCTGAGGCTGGGAGTGAGGCAGACATTCTTAACTGTGCTCCCCAGCAGGGGCTTCATCCCAAGGCAGCAGGGTGGCTCAGCCTGTCGGGAGTCACCAGAAACACCAGGGACACTTGTTGCCACCTGCCTGAACAGAACAGCTTATCCATCTGTCAGTCCCAATACCACACTTGTCAGTGAGGCTGGGCTGGTCCCCAGTGGACAGACAGCTGTGAAGGGTGAGGTCCTATCTCTACCGAGAAGCTACCACAAGCTGCCGCTGTGGTGGAGGAGGCTCAAAACTGCAAGCAAGCGGGTGTGGTCCAGGCCCCCATCCACACACTGGGGAAAAGCCTGCGAGGGTCCTGAGTGGCCAGGGGACTTCAGCCCCAAGTGCCCAGAGGTGGCCTTCTGTAGCCTGTGCAGTGGCCAGTTTGCACAAAGTCCCTGGGGCAGGACAGGTCCAGCAGCATGTTGCAGAGAGGGAGTTGTTTGTGCTGTGGAAATGACCCCAGATGGACCCTGGTGCCACCCAAGGGCAGTGAGGTGGCCATCAAGTACTTTAAGTTGGTTGTGTTGTTTATTGCAGTAAAAACACAAAACACTATACTATCATAAAATGAGCTCTGTAACAATCACTGCTAATTCCGGGGGCAGTCTCTGACCAAAGGTGCAAAGGCCCAACCACATCCATCACGAATCCACTTCCCTCTGTGGATCCCTGGGTCACAGACATTTACTGTCATGGAGCCCACACTTTGTCCCTCACTGAGTCCCGTGTCCTCGAGGTCCCTCCACACTGGCTGAGTGATGGTCTAGGCTGTGTCCCCACCGCCCAGCAGATAGTCCCTGAGCAGGACAGAGACTGGGTAAGGTGGGCAAGGGCAGACTGCCGAGACCCTGGCACAGGGAGGACATTGTGGGGCAGGGGGAAAGTTGAGGAAAGCCAGGTATCCCCAGGTAAGGAGCTGGTGAGAGTCCAGAGCCACAAGTCTCACTTCAGTCCTGAAGGCTCCAGTCTCACACCAGGAAGTAGGCTGAGGTCATGGGGACCATGGCTGCCCACTTCCCTGTTGCTGGGATACCTTTGTCCCTGTCAACAATGGCCCTAGGGCCTCTGGGAACACAGGGGCAGACATGAAAAACCTGAGGCGGGAGGCTGCCCAGCCCTTTGTCCCCTCAGGCACCCTGGAACTCAACTTTCCCGCCCTTTTATACAGGTGGGTTCCTGCATTTGGCATCTCCCTTCACCCAAGCACCAGCTTGTGCCCCCCTCCCCTGTAACCTGCAGTCAAGTGGGCTGGGATACAGGTGTGCAGGGGATTGGGAGTTAGGCATGTGCACACCCACACTACAAAGGAGGGAAGCCCTCAGTCTCTCCCTCCCTTGAGTGGCCACGGTATGTGTGAGAGGTGGCAGCCCTAAGGGGCAGTATGCCTGACCTGTGCACGTGTGAGTGATGGGGAGATCACTGTAACCCAGGCTGGCCTCAGCTTTACCACGTGGCTGGTGACCTTGAACTCCTGCCGCTCCTGCTGCCCTCCACAGGGCTGGAATATATCGCCACACTACATTTTTAAAGCTTGAGCCAGGATCTTTCTGTGTGTGTAACCTAAAGGCTTAGAAAGATCCCCCGCCTCACTCAGCATACTGAGCACAGGACGTGTCACCCAGCAAAAGTCCCATTTCACAGGCCTGTTTCACATCGACCTTTTGTGGGCTAAGTACAATCCCAGGGGGTTACCATGGAGCCACCCGAGTCCTGGTTTTGAAACTATAGAGGGTGTACCCTCTTCTCTGTTGCAAGTTCCAGGCCACCCAAGGCCTGCCAGAGCACTCAACTCCGGGTACCATATGAGAAATTTCCTGCCAAGCAGACCCCGGCCTCCCCCCCCCCCCACTAGGCTCGTGCCTGTCATACAAGCACTTGAGAAGCTAGGGCAGGAGGATTGCTGCATGGTCGGGAGACGTGCCTCAAACACAAGCAGGGCATCCTCGGCTATGAGACAATGACAGTGGGTGGGGGAGCGCACAGAGGAGACCCTGGGCGGGTATGGGGTGGCCCTCACCCCTTTGCAAAGGGGGCGGACACCCTTGCGACAGGGAGCAGTGGGCAACTGCGCTCAGTGCCCATCCTCCCTCAGCAATGACTACCTGTCCCTGGAGGGCCCCCGTTGGGCACAGGCCGTCAAGCAAGCCGTGCGCTGTAAGTTCGCGCCCATGGGACAGGACGCAGCCGGCCAGGTGTGGTTCACCGGCCTGACCAACTCGGACCCACGCAAGGCCTGGTACATGCTGCCTGCTGCGCTTGACAGACCGTACCGCGAGGCCCATGCGCGCTGGCACGGCTGCTTTGAGAGTCGCCAGCGTGGCCTGCCGCCCGGTGAGTGTCGCGCCCCCAGCCGCGCACGCCCGTGGGTCCCACGCTGACCCCGCCCTCGTCTTCCCGCAGCCTACACGCAGCGCCTGCGGGAGACGGCCTTCTGGGACCCCGTGCTGCCTGCGCAGTATCTCAGCCCAGGCACGCGCTGGGGGTGCATGCCGTGGAGGGACAGGCACATCCGCAGCAAGGAGTTTGGTGAGTGGCGGATGGGGACGGGAGGGAGGTGGGGCGGAGGTGCAAGCGGGCCACTCCAGCACTCCCGCGGCAGAGGCAGGAGGATCTCTGAGTTCTGGGGACAGCCTGGGCTACACAGTGTCAAGCTTTAAGAGACCCTGCATCAAAACTACAGGGGAAAAAAAAAAAAAAAACAATGGCCCGGTGGTGGTGGCACTCGCCTTTAATCCCAGCACTGGGGAGGCAAAGGCAGGTGGATCTGTGAGTTCGAGGGCAGCCTGGTCTACAAGAACTAGTCCCAGGACAGCTTCAAAGAAACCCTGTCTCGAAAAACAAAAACAAAAACAGCGAAGACCCGGGCAGCAGGTGGGAGGGGGTGGGGAGCCGGGGCAGGGCGTGGCCAGCACGCAGAGGGTCCCTGCCAGCCTCTGAGCCCAGTCCCGCTCCCCAGTGGTCAACAGGAACCAATTCGGGGTGGAGCCCTTACGGTCCGACTACGTGCCCCACCTGTCGCCGCCACAGCGGCCGCGCTACACCTCGCAGGACTTCAGGCAACGGGACAGAGAGCGCCCCTGCCCGGCCACCGGCCAGCCGCCCCCGGCCTTCACGCCCGCGCTCTGATAAAGCCCTGCTGCCGACCAGTGCCTCGCGCCTCCGTGGGCCGGGCGACCATCCCCACGCATGTAGTCCGGGGTGTCAATCCTGCTTTATTCTCCTCGGGTCCCAGCGAGCCGACTGGCCTTCCCGTCCCTGGTCCCTGCGCTGGTCCACGGTTGGGGCGGGACACCCACCACGGGTCCCCGGGGTTCAAGAAGCATGGCCAGGTATCCTTCCCCCACCCTCACACCGTGCCCTCTGAACCCCTGCAGGTGGGGGACCAGGGGGCCAGGGTGTCTGCCTGGTCCTTCGTCGTGTTGCCCTGGGGAGCCAGGTCAGGGCCGGTCTCCGAGGTCCCCTGAAAATGAGGAGCAGGGTGGCGTTGGGGAGGGCAGGTCCCAGGTCGCACCTCCCCCAGCCCCGAGACCCCACCCAAGCCGCAGCGATGGAGACTCACGGGTGCGGATGCGGATGGGCCAGATGAGGAGGCTGCACAGAGCCAGGGCCGCGGCCACACCCACGCCGCCCGTCACAGTCACCATTACCCAGTGGTAGAAACCGACGCAGGCCCAGCAGCAAAGCTCAGAGCTAGGGGGCAGACGTTGGGCTGAGGGCAGTGTCCCCTGCACCAGCCCTCCACGGAGCCCATCTCAAGTTCCAGAGGACCCTAGGCCTACACACACCCCAGTAGACACAGAGTTCCCCTGCAGCCCACAGCCCTGCCTTGTCCCGCAGCTCCAGCGCGGGCTCGGTCCTGCCCCCGGGCCTTTGCCCAAGGTCCTAAGGAACCCTCCGGGCCTCCTGTCTGACCCCAACTCCTGAGATGGCACCTTCCCACCCCCACGCTCAATCCCATTTCCTACACTCCTGGCACTGTCCTGGGCCAGGACTAGTGGCTCTGTGTCCCCTGTAGCCTGGCCCTTAGCTCACAAGAAACTCAGAGAAATGGATGCTGCTCCTGGGGTCTGAGGACATGAACTCACGGGCAGGGGTGCAGGCTCTGCACAGCCATGACGGCCAGCCCGTTGGCTACCTTATCCGAAAAGCTCATAGCACCGTACACGAAGGCTCCACTGTGCTGGGAGACACACAGATCGTCAGTCCCCAGGCCCAGGATCCAGACCACTGCATCCCAAGGCTCCTCCCACCAAGCCCTACCGTGTGTGGGCCGATGAGGTCAGCTGTCATGGCCAGCGAGGTGACCAGGATAGTGGCACAACCTGCACCCAGCAGCACAGCGGCCCCGTAAACGGCCACGCCCAGCTTATCTACCAGGGCCACCCATGCTGCGAAGGCCAGGATCACCAGCAGCCCCGTGAAGTAGGTCATCTAGAGAGGAAGGAGGCGGAGCCTGCATCGGGCATCCCGTGCCTGACACTCGCCCTCTGGGGTTCTCAGCCCAGTGAAAGGCTCCACTCCCATGAGTGGTCCACTCATTGCTGGTCCACGCCAGGGCACCTATTACCAATCAACCTTCTGTTGTACAGCCAAGTCAGACACTACATCCAGGGTAGGCTGTCCAAGGGCCGTAGCCCACCAGGAAGGGCCAGAGAACCCCTGCCACCACCACCCCCCGCCTCACCCCTCCAACCCCCCTCTTCCCAGCCGTCACTCACGTTCCTCCCTATGCGCCTGTTGACCGGCTTCATGAGGAAGGAGGAGAAGAAGCCACTCAAGTACATCACCAGAGGAATGGTGGCGATGAACTTCTGGGGAGGGAGAGGCGGCGCCAGTCCAGAGGGGTCTCCCGGGTGGGAGGGGCCTGCCCATCTCCTCCCCACGACCCCGCCTCACCTTGGGCAGGCTGAGAGAGTAGGTCAGGTACATAGCGATGTAGGTCTGGGACAGGTTCACGATGAGCCTCGTGGTCATGTACAGCATGCCCACCTGTGGGCAGATGAGCAGGGGGACAAGCCCAGGACTCAGTGGGAGACCCAGACAAGGATTTGGAGAGCAAACTGAGGGCTTCCCCAACAGCATGACTCATTACAGCTGACTGCTCAGCAGGCAGGCCGGGAGAAACAACATCTGTGATTAGTAATGTCTGCCCTGGGTGGGGTACGGGAAATCGGGAACATATGCCCCGCATGTGGAATGGAAAACTGAATGATGTCTGCCCCAAGTATGAAACAGAACTCAGCTGGCCCTGAAAGATCAGTGAGGAAGTGATTAGTCTGTCCTGAACACAGGACGGCAGATGAATGCACACCCCGGCTGTAGAAGATTGGTTCACAATGTCTATCTATTCTGGATGAGACAGGTCGATTAGTAATGCCTGCCCTGGGTACAGACTGTGAGAGCCACTGGTAATGTCAATCCTGGGTGGTGCCACGGGACTGGGCACCCACAGTGTACCTGGTAGAAAGCTGGCTCCCGAAGCCAGTGTTTCCAGAGCAGGAGTGGCCGGGCCGTGGGGGCCACCAGGGGGCTGTGTTCATCAGGTTCTATCTCCCGAGGCCGGGGCCGGCGCCCCTCCTTGGTACCCAAGTGGAAGAGGAGAGAGAAGATGGCTCCCACGCCCACCACCAGCAGGGCCAGGTTCTAGAAAGAACAGCGGGACTCAGCTATGGCTTCCGTAGGCTCGGGGACCCCAGGGCCACCACACAGCCCCGACTTACCCGAAACACCGGCACATCCTGGACTCCCAGCTGGTCACCCACACTGATGTCCTGTTCACCATGGGAAGAGCCCTGCAGGTGCAGCAGCAGCCAGGCGGTGCCGTAGACAGTGATGTTGGCCACCACCGTGAAGGCATACCTGTGGGTGAGCGCCAGGCTCAGCATGAGTCCACAGCAAGCGCTCAATAAATGCTTGCTGCCTATCAGAAATCCAGAATACTTACTTCCCAAGCCTGCAGAGCTCCCGACCCCACAGAGTCCCAGCCCCTCCGGTGTCCTTCCCTGAGGCACAGGCCACAGATCCAGGGCAGAATAAAGGGTCAAAGGGTCCCATGGAAACAATTAGTCCCTGGGCCAGTTGTTCCTTTGAAGCAGTGTCCCTGGAGGGTCTGGTCTAATCAGGTGACCTTAGGACATCAGCCTTAGGCTACGACCTGGGGTCACAGACCACTCAGCCAGCAGCAGGAATCACCCAGCCAAAGCTTCTAATCCCACAGCCAGGCTAGTGCACACCCACCCTGCTAGCTGCTCTGGAAACTGCGGCAGGCAGGAGGACCACAAAATTCAAGGTCAGCCAGGGCAAAGGAGTAAGAAACTGACTCAAATTTGTCTTTTTAAAAAATGGGCTGGCAGTGGTGAGGCACGCCACAGGAGGCAGAGGCAGGTGGATCTCTGTGAGTTCGCGGCCAGCCTGGTCTCAGAAGAAAAGAGTTAGGGCACCGGGTCCCTCTCTGCGGCTCACCACAGCTGGGGTTGATGGATAAAACTCCCCAGGGATACCTAGCTAGGTTACTGCCCCCAGCCCCGGGTACCTGAGGGCTGTGAGCTCCACCTTCTCGTGCTCACTGGTCACTAGCTCGGGGATGAGGCTCAGGTGGGCAATCTGCGTGGCAGCCCAGCCAAACTGGAAAATGACGATGAAGGGTGCATAATAGAGCAGGGCAGCCCACTCGGGGGTGGCCTCCCCGCAGCCGAGGCACGGGCTGAAGATGAACGGGAAGGACAGCAGGACGCAGACGGTGCCTGTGGCAGAGGGGCAACATGGGGCGGTGAGGGGAGGCTACAGAGTGGGCAAACGTGGCAGGCCAGGAGTCTCCTTGAGTGGCCTGTGACTAAGGATGGGGAGAAAGGCCAAGAATGGGGTCACTCACCAGCTGAGCTCAGCGTCACCCCCCACATCTACAACCTGCCCTATGTTCTGCCCCCAGGACCAGGGGCAGGGAGGAGTCCGGAGGCCGCTCCTGGGTACAGAGCACAGCCTGCCCCTGTCCAGGACATGCTGGGTGTTCCACCCTGCTCCATCCACTCAGAAAGATACCAATGAGTTTAGGATGCTCCTCATCCCACCGCGTCCTGCCCCAGCCCCCAGGATCCCTTCGTCCTGTCCCTGAGCCTTCCCACGGCTGCCCCATGTATCCTACCCTGCACTGTCTGCAGCCCCTGCCCCTGCCACACCCAGACCCAGGGACTCCTCTCCAACCAGACCACAGGCCCTCCGGCACTGGAGCAGGTATCCCCATGTCCCTTCTGTGTCCTAGGCATTCAGGTCAGCCTGAGGACTCCGAGCCCCAGGTGCGTTCATAACAGAGGTTTCTCTTCAGTCCAAAGTGAGACATTATCACACCACAGTCCAAGCTAGCCTTGAACTCCTGATCCTCCTGCCTCAGCTTCCAGAGTGCTGGGACCAGAGGCATGCGCCGCCACCACCCCCTGGTTCCTTTCACACATTTTTAAGTGGATGAACTTGAATCTGAAGCCCTGTGAGACACACATCCCTCAGAAAGAACCCTGAGCCTCCTCCTTCTGCCTGGCAAACTGGGCTTCCAACTTCCCCTTTCTGCTCGGAGGTGACCTTACCGCCCCCCTCCCTTGTGTCTTGGATTGAGAAATGAAACCAACCCTCAGGAGGGGACCAGGGCAGATTCCTAGGGGCTGCCCCAGGGGGCCGTGTGGCCTCTGGACTCTCTCCCGTGACCACACACACCCTGCACTATCTGGGGCCTGGTTAACCATTGCAGCCAGGGCTGGGCGGGTTGAATGCAGGTGGGCCTCAGTTAACTTAAGAGTTCTTGTTTGGTTCTGGAACCCAAAGTGGTGAGAGTTTCAGGTTTAATGAGCACATCTGCCAGGCATGGTGGTGCACCCTTCAATCCCAGCACTTGGGAGGCAGAGGCAGACTCTGAGCTCCAGGCCAGCCAGAGCTGCCTCCGCTATCCTGGCTTACAGAGTTCCAGGCCGGCCAGAGCTGTCTCTGCTATCCTGGCTCAGGGGGCACACAGAAGTTGTCAGTTTGCTCGGGTACCCACCTGCCTCACCTGCTTGGGTGCCTCCCAGTCTGCCCTCCCCAAACCCAAGCCACCGGCCCATGCTCAGTCACAGGCTCAGCTCAGGGCCTTGGCACAGCTGGGCTGGCCTGGTGTCTCTAGGCAAATATGAGCCCTTTTGTGTGTTTCTTCTCTTTGTTGGAAACCGGGTCTCACTAAGCAGCTACACCCCTGCTTCAGAGGCCTACACAGGCTACTACCACCCTCCTCTGCTTGTCCTGGAATCTTCTGAGGTCCATAGCCTAGAACAATCCGGAGAAACTAGAAATTCCAGCCCTCAGGCTCAGAATCCAGTTTGGGGCCACTGCTCTATCTCGCAAAAAAAAAAAAAAACCTGTCAACAAGGGGCAGGGCTGGGTTCCACAACTACCACCCCAGGGGCAGGGCCAGGCCCTTCCAGAAGAGCTGCCTGGAATTCCAAAAGGAGCAGCTACAATCCCAGGGCCATACTCCCCAATGTCCACACCAAACAACAACCAGAGGGGGACCCCAAGCTGGGCCACCCCAGACAGGATGTGAGGGATGAGAGGCAGGCAGTTGTAGGGTGGGGACATGAGGAGGAGGCTAGACCACTGGCTGTCAGGGAAGGAAAGGACGTGTCCCAAGATGACAGACTGGGGGAAAGTGAGAAGCAAGACACGGGGTGGCAGGGTGTGGGGGGAGGGCAGACTGAGGGTGACAGTTGGGTAGGGGGCGATGGTCCCAGGGTGACTGTCAGAGGGGGAAGGGCCATGCCACAGGATGGTAGTCAGCGGGGAGGATGGACACAAAGTGACAGAGTTGGGGGACGGTCTCAAGTGACAGTCAGAGGGTGGAGGACAGCCCGGGGTGACAGTCAGAGAGGGGACGACCCGGGGAGACAGTCACAGGGTGGAAGACAACCAGGGTGACAGTCACAGGGTGGAGGACAGCCTGGGGAGACAGTCAGACATGGGGGACAGCCCAGGTTGACAGCAGTCAGACGTGGGGGACAGCTCGGGGTGGCAGATGTGGGGGACAGCCCGAGTGACAGCTCAGGTAGTGGACAGCCCATGGAGACAGAGAGGGGGAGACAGCCCGGGGAGACAGTCAGAGGGTGGAGGGCAGTCCCGGGGAGACAGCAGTCAGACGTGGGGGACAGCCCGGGGAGACAGTCAGAAGGTGGAGGACGGTACCGGGGCGGGAGTCTGAGCCGGGAGTGGGAGGACGGCTCACCTGCCAGGTGCCAGGCCTTGCGGGGTCCGCAGCGCGCGCAGGCGGCGCGGTCAGCCTCGTAGCCCACGAGCGGCGTGCAGAGCCCGTCGGCCGCCTGACCGAGCAGCAGCAGCAGCCCGGCGCCCCGCGAGCTGTAGCCGCGCACGGAGTGCAGGAACAGCAGCAGGTAGGTGAACCACATGCCCGCGCACAGGTCGTTGAGGAAGTGGCCGACCGCGAAGCTCAGCCGCGCGGCGGGGGACAGCGTCCGCGGCGGCCCGGGGCCCGCGTCGCCCGGCGGAGGCGACATCGCGGCCGCAGGCCCCACCGCACAGCGGCTCCGGCTGCCGCGGCGCGCGCCTATGCGACCGCTCCCGGGAGCCGCCTCGACGGGGCGGAGCCTCGGAGCGACGGCCGCAATCGCCAATCAGAGCCGCGCGCCTCGGCCGGACGACCAATCAGCAGACAGGAGCGTGGCCTCAGGGCGGTGCACTCCCGCGGCCCTTAACGCCACCCGCTACGCGTCAGGCTTTCATCATCGCGGTTTGTTTCCCTTTTATTTTCTTCGTGTTTTCATTTATTTGACTAAAGGAATTATTTTTTGTTTGTTTCTTTTTTTTTTTAAACGCAGGGTCTCCTGTAGCCCAGGCTGGCCTTGATATCCCTGTATAGCAGAAGACATCTTTGAACATTCTCCAGAGTCACCAAATTTATCCTTTCAAACTGAAAACTCTGTTTTGAGAGGGTCTTATGTAGCCCAGGCTAGCCTCAAACTCAGTGTGCAGCTGAGGATGGCCCTGAACTCCTGGTCCTCCGGCCTCCCGTCCTGGTCATGGGGGTTGCACCCACAAGTGGGCCTTTTTATTGTTTCTGCTTTGAGACGGGGCCACACTCGTCGCCCAGGCAGCTAGCTTGGAGTCCCTCAACAACCTAGGCTAGCCTTGCACTCTCAGTCCTCCAACTTCAGCCCCAGGCGCTGCTGGGATTTCAGGCCTGGCTCGGGGAGTAGAGTCGTGAGCCCTGTTGCCTGCCACCCACCCATGCCTTGGACCCCAGCCAGCCTGCAAAAGGCCAGAATGAGACCACATCTGGGTGATCTCATAAACTTCCAGAGATACACAGTGAGGCCCTTGGGAGACATATTAGTGCTAATTAATTATTAATTACAGAGAATAGTTGGGTAGAACAGCATAACACCGACCAGCCTTTAATGAGGCTGCAGGTGCCAGGCGCCCCACGTGGCAGATGCCCAGCTTTTCACTCCTACTTACTGGGTGGTTCTGAGAAGCACTCTCAAAGAAAGGGGAAGCCAGGCCTCTGTGGTGAGTCAGGCACACACACTTCCAGGCCCAGACCATGGGATGTAGTGGGACGAGCGTTCTTCCACCTCCTCCACACGACATTTCATCCCCTTTTTTTATCCCCCCCCTCCCGCCCCCACTTTGGTACTGAGGCTGACCTTGACCTCTGAGTGCTGCCTGACCAGCAAGCTGCATACTGCTCAGGGGCTGGAACCTGGGCTTCGCCATAGCTCCAGCTGGCTGGAACCACAGCCCCGCTACCGTGACGATGTCTCCGTTACCACACAGAGCCTTCCTCCTGGGGCACTCAGAGACATACAGCCTGGTTGTGAATCCCTAAGTCCCAAATGGAACTGCTCTCCCGTGAGCCCCTATGCGCCCAACAATAGATGTTAAAGTGATCAAGATGTCATGGCCATGTCTTTAATCCCAGCACTTTGGAGGGAGAGGCAGGAGAATCTCTTGAGTTGATACCAGTCTGGCCTAGGAGTGAGGTACAGAGAAATCCTGTCTCAAATAAATAAATATACAAAGACTTTATTCCAGAAGGCAGAGGATCTGGTACCGGGCCACACAACACCCAGGGGACGATCCCAGGCTCCTCTGGGGAGGTGACCTGGCCTGGGTTGGGCAGCAGTTAATGGGCAGCTCCAAGCTCTTGGCCGGAGGGGACTAAAAGATAGGAGAGATAGGAGCCAGAGGGGTGGCTCAGGCCCGGTCTCTTCCAGAGAACGCCAGCCTGGGGCTGACTGGTAATTCTCAGCACACAGGTGTGTCAGCTGTGGCTCCCAAACCTGGGCAGAGACACCTGGGATCGACCATACCAAATGGCTATTTTAAAGCTGGCTAATCACACCTAGGGTTTATTTCTGTTCCTGTCCTTCTCAACAACCACCCCAGAGGCCTCTAGCAGCTGACTGGGTCTCCTGTGACCCAGGCTGGCCTTAAACTCCCCCCTACACCCCGTAGCCCAGGAACGGCTTGTCCTCCCGCCTCAATCCCCTGAGTGCTGGGATAAAGGTGACAAAGGCCTTAGCTGGTCCTCCTGCCCCTGAGTGCTGGGATAAAGGTGACGACGAGGGCCTTAGCCACCACATCTCATAGCCACCGCAGCTCATTTATCCAGTCGCTGGAGACAGAACCCAAGGCTTTCCTGCAAGCTGGGACAACGCTACCCACTGAGCTCCGACCCCAGCCTTGGGTTATTTTATTTTACGGACAGGGTCTCATGTAGCTCAGGCTGGCCTGTAATTCCCTCCATAGCCAACCTTAAACTCCTGCCCCTCCTGATCTTCCATCCACCATTGGTGTGAAAGGGCTGGATCAACATGCTTAGCTCCCAGAAGCTGCTGGCTGACTCTGCAGCAACACGGTGGACCTGGGCTTCTTACCCTTTTGAATTCAGCTCAGATTTTCATCCCTGGTTGGAGAAGTCACCAGGAAAGTAGTCCAGGGGCAGGGTGAAGACTGAGTGTCAGTGATGGCACTGGGGAGCCGTGGCAGGTTTGAGAGCAATGCCTTTTGGGTCAGACAGGATGAAAGCTGAACCCCCTAGGATGTGGGATCTCTGGCCAGGGGAGACAATGGCAGATAAAGAACCCAACAGAGCTCGGTGATCCTTCTAAACTCCGGAAGGGAAGGCATTTGTGCCCCAGGAGAGGCTTTGGAATTGGGCAAAGGTCAAAAAGACCAGTTAAGAGGAAGGAATCATCATCCGGACCCTCAGGGTAGGACACGTGGACTAGGAGTCCAAATAGATCCTGACAGCCTTTGATGTCCCTTGAGCGTCTGGCAGCCCTGGACGCCAAGCCCACGCTCAAATCCGTCCATCCTCTGGGCATCGGATATCCTGGTGGCCAGAGTCCACCCTCGGGGTGCGGGGCCAGCTTTGATGAGCGGGGGCCAGACCTGCTGGGGCAGGGGATTTCCAAGTCTGTGCATAATGTTCTGAGATCTGAGGGTGAAGGGGAAAGTCAGGTGTCAGGGCAAGCCAGGAGGCCTCAGTTTCCCTCACTGTTCAATAAGGAAGAGACGAACTCAGAGATCTGCCTACCCCTGTCTCCTGAGAGCTGGTGGCACTGTTCCAAGTTCTAAGAAGCCATTGTTTTGCTTGGTTTGATAGCCTGGCAGGGATGGAACCCGGGGCTAATGCTCCACCACTGAGCTTTGTCCCCAGAAGAACGAGGCAGGGGGATTGCGAGTTCAATGGCAGATGGGGCTGTCAGGTGTACTGTGTCACATAGGTGGCCCAAGAAAAAGGGTCGCTCCAGAAAGTGATTTTAGGTTCTCTGGCAGCTGGGAGGAACAGAAGTTTTTGTACACAAAGGTTGTATTTGGGGTACAAGTTCCTCACAGTCAAGTCCCTTCGATCTATTCTATATGTTTCCCTGAAGGAAATCATCATAACCACTCCACAACCTTGTGCCTGGATAGGCTTGTGTCCAGAGACAGATGGGAAACGTCAACAAAAACAACTCTACAGAACACAGGAAACAGCCATAGTTCTCTACAATGGTTTCTTCAAAGTCTAGGAGTCTTCAAGGAACAATAATACATTCAACTGGGGGCTGGAGAGATGGCTCAGTGGTTGGGAGCATTGCCTGCTCTTCCAAAGGTCCTGAGTTCAATTCCCGGCAACCACATGGTGGCTCACAACCATCTGTGATGAGGTCTGGTGCCCTCTTCTGGCATGCAGACATACACACAGACAGAATATTGTATACATAATAAATAAATAAATATTAAAAAAATAATACATTCAACTGTTACCTCAGACGGTGAGAAACAATTGTAACATTTTATGTTTACCAAAGATACAATGACTCTTCTAGATTCCCACTACACTGAGCAATTTAGTGAAACCCTTAATCAAGATGGTAAAAAAAGACCTGAGGCAGGGTCTAGTAGGGTACCCCATTAATTCCAGCACCCCACAGAGGCAGGTGGGTCTGGATGAGATCCAGAAGAGCAAGGGCTGCACAGTGAGGCCCTGTCTAAAACAGAGTTAAAAGCAACAACAACCAAAGTTGTCAGGGGCATGGCTCAGGTGTCAAAGAAAATCCCCTAGAATCCCCCAGTGAGGGGCTGGGGGCGTAGTCAGGGTGGGGCCCCAGTGATGAGTGGGGGCGTGATCAGGGTGAAGCCTCACCTAGAATCCCCAGTGAGGGTCTAGGGGCGTGGCATAAGGGTAGAAAGCCTGACTAGTTTCATTCCCACTAACAAAAATGAAAATTAAAAATGTAGAACGGGGTGGGGGGTGGAGAGATGGCTCAGTGGTTAAGAGCACTGACTGCTCTTCCAGAGGACCCCGGTTAAATTCCCAGCACCCACATGGCAGCTCACAACTGTCTAAAGACTCAGTTGCAGGGGATCTGACACCTTCACACCAATGCACATAAAATAAAAAGTTAAATAAACCAAAAAAATGTAGAAGAGATATGCAGACACATCTGTTATTTGAGCATCAAGGAAGCAGGTTCACACACGCACTCCATCTGGGCAACTACTTCTGTCTGGAACTACATCCCCTTCACAAACAGCTCTCCCCACACCCACCGCTGATGTCCCCTTGCTTCGCAGGGTGAGAAACACCATAATTCACACCTGAGTCTGCCTTATTTTTTATTTATTTTTATTTATTTTTAATTGTTATTTTTGAGAGGTTCTCACTATGTATCAGGTTGGACTGGAACTCACAGATTTCCCCCGCCTCTGCCTCCAGAGTGCCGAGGTGGAAGGCTGCCACGCCCAGCTCTTAACACGACATCAGGGCGATGGCCAGGCCAGCTCCTCCCTTCCTGATCTTGGGCCCTGGTGTCCCCTGACCAGCAGAAGCCTCCCTCGGCTGGGCCCTGTGCTCTGTCCTCACTGCAGCCTGTCCTGTCTTCAAGCAATGCTTATTTCTGCTGTCACAAGAAGCCCAGCCTTATCTACCCTGCTTCCCCCTGGGGAGGAGGGAGGCTCAGAATCCTCCAGCTGGTGAGTTTGGGGGAATCACTTGCACCCGCCATTAAGGCAGAAGTATAATCACATGGCTGCATATGTGCACATCTGTGTGGTCCCTTAGAAACATGCCGTAATC